CAGGCAACACAGGTCATTGGTAGAGGGCCAATTGAACGAAAAGTCGTTTTGGGGTAGTGTAAGGGTGCATTTGTAACCTAATACAGTAGTTGAGATTGTCCAGGGTCAGGTGCTGACTGTGATGACCTATTACGCGCCACTGTTTTGTAGCTGCGGTCATTATCACGATTACGCCTCCTGTCTATGTTTCGTTGAGGTCGCGTCGGAGGCATTTAAAAGAAAAAAACAACAAATAAACAAATTATAGCTACACAAAACAACGATAAATGCACAAATTTAAGTTAGAATCATGCTAACACGATCCGTCATAGCGACACAAAACAACGATAAATACACAAATTTAAGATACAACCATACTAACACGATCCGTCTTGGGAGTTATGTTTAAACAAACTCAAATAGTAAATAAACGTACTCAATATGTTTCATTGAATTGAAAAATAAATAACAGCAGTTAAATTATACAGCTGATCAAAATGTAAACAATTATGTTCTTCATAAGGATAACATGGGAACTTTCAAAGCCACTGGGGCAGAGCCCAAGGGACTTTTTCAAAAAATGTAAGGCCAGTTTGGAAATCTACGCGACACGCTCTTTCCAATGACACGTCAATGGATAAAATCGGTTAAGAAATGGCGGAGGAGTTTACTAAATTGAAATTTTACCTTTGTCATCCAGCTCCTGATTTATTATCAACTTGTTACGGCCGTTTCAGCATCACTGTGCCATCGTCGGACTGTTCAGCCAAAAGGCGTCGTTAAAACACAAAAGCACATACACGAAACACACACAAAACGGGGTTTTGAAAACAGGCCTGTTGAGGATAGTACATTCCCGAACTTGAGCAAGTAGCTGACTGGAGTCATGCTTGCATTGTCATGTGGTTGTGGTGTTATCAGCTGTACTTTGCCCCTTTGGTCTTGGTTCTCTCCACTGATTTAAAATACTATTGAAGATGAAGTGTGATTTAAATTGTAATTTATCGTTTAAAATTAGTTCACTATTGTCATTTTTCATGTGGGCTTTGTAGATTTCAAATTCTTCCAGGGTATCTAATTTGCTGCCTTTTGTACAGGTGTGAAGGATTTCCAAGCCAGTGTCAAGGTTATTTAAGTCGTGATTTTCATCTATCAGGTGTTGAGCAAAAGTTGATTTTTGTTTGTCATTTTTCGGGTTCGGATGATGCTCTTTATATCTTGTTTTGAATGTACGCCCCGTTTTTCCTACATAAACACTAGGACAACTAGCACATTTAATTTTGTAGACTCCTGACCTGTCACCCTTATCTATAGCCTTTCTTGTAACATTAAGTTTGTTTAAAGTCTTATTGTTTGTCCTAAAAGTTAACTCTATACCATTTTTCTTTAATTCCTTGGCTAAACCATGCTGTAACGAATGGGAGTATTCTACGCATACATATTTCTTATCTCGTGGCACTTCATTACCATTTTTATTTATATTTTTATTCCTTTGTTTACTAATTATTCTATCAACCATGTTTGTTTCATACCCATTAGCTATTGCTATGTGCCTAATGATATTGAGCTCTTTTTGGTAATTAGTGATCGACATAGGAATGTTTAGCAGCCTATACACCATGCTGTTATATGCTGCAAACTTCTGTGAGGGTGGATGGTAAGAGGTGTTATGAATGGTTTGGCTTGAAGTGGTTGGCTTCCTGTAAATGCTGAAATCTAATCTGCTATCTACTTTCTCTATTGTCAAATCCAAAAAATTAATCTTATTTGATTCTTCCACTTCCATTGTAAATTTTAAATTAGGTGATATGGTGTTGAGATAAGAGTGTAATAAATCCAGTTGTCTGTTATTTCCATTGAACAACAGAATATTATCATCAACGTATCTGTGGTACTGTATTATCTTTTGCTTTTGTTTGTTACAGTCTGAAAGTATGAATTCGTTTTCTATATAATTTAAGTAAATATCCGCAAGAATACCTGACAATGGAGAACCCATTGCTAGGCCATCAGACTGTGTGTAGTATTTTTCATTAAATATGAAATAGTTCTGCTTCAAAACCTCTTTTAATAAAATCAACAACTCATCAATGGCTTCAGGTAACATGTTTGAGTTCGTGGATAGGTTACTTTTAACTATATCTAGAGTTTGATCGACTGGTACATTAGTAAAAAGGTTGACAATATCGAATGAAACTAACAAATCTTGTCTCCTAACATTCAAACCTTTTGTTTTGGAGGAGTTTAACCGACAAAGTTTCATGTAGCGTATTAATTATATAGATGAGTGGCCCAACCTTTTAGTTTTGAAAGGGACTAAGGCCGACATATTCCTGAGACACAGATGTTAATTAATTGCCAATACAGCAAAAGACAACTAAGGGGGTTAATAGGGGAATTCGAACCACATTTTTGCCTTGTAATTAACGAATTAGTCTAATTATCAGGGTAATAAAAATTGATAACATGTGTGATAAACTTAAATCAAATGTAAAATTTTTAACCTCCTTGATACAGTATTAACATTCTGATAGACAGGTGGAAAATAAGGTTTTTTTATTTGATTTCAAAACTATTTACAAACACTAATATTGATATAATGATGTAGTGACGTAACACTTTAATCAAACCACGACTGAAATACTTAACACACCCTTTTATGGAACATAACCCATAATTTAATATTTTAATTTTTAATTTAATATTTTTTTCCTAATTTATTTACCACTCTTTTTATGATTAATCTGTTTGATAATTGTATCGGTGGTCCAAAAATAACTCTGGGGGGAGGAGAGAGGGCGTTTGACTATGTTGTATCGATGGTCTAAAAATAACTCATGGGAGGGGGCCCAAAAAAATATGTTTGCAAGGGGGCCCGTAAAAATTTGTTACACCACTGGGCGCGACCACAGAAAACGTACTACTATAACCCAGAATGCCAACCGCATGGTAAAAAGCATTAAGCGTTTTGAGAGAGCTTTGCCTGTCAATCCGTAGGCAGCGCCACCAGCGTTGCCATGCAATAGCAATAGCATAGCAACGCTGGTGGCGCTGCCTACGGATTGACAGGCAAAGCTCTCTCAAAACGCTTAATGCTTTTTACAATGCGGTTGGCATTCTGGGTTATAGTATTATGTTTTCTGTGGCGTGACCTACATTGGAGGCGGAATCTGACGGTCTGAGCGGGTCTGCGCGGGTCTGGCCGGGTCTGCCAGAAAGAAACACAAGTAGTGCCGTCTCCCCTCTTACACTGGCACCAATCGTAGTGTCGGGAAGGAAGAATGGGTCTGAGCTTGTCAGAAACGAATCTTAATAGTTTGTTTTTTCGCCCGGTTAGACCAGACCCAGAGACCCAGTCGCTTTGAATTTTGAATCAGAATCTTTGACCGAGGTTGGTGTATAGTTTATGTCATTTATTTTGTCTGTTTGTTTTTTAGATTGTGCTAAAATGGTTGACAAAGTTGGCAGTCACTTTAAGACTATGAAACATATAATAAACAAAGTTTTGGTTATTTCTAAGGGAACTTAGAAGTTAGAACTTGAGTTGGGATTTACAAATGGTAATTTAGACGTATGCTAAAAATAATATACATTCATATATCATATGTACATTGGTATTCACACGTTAATTGATGGAATTAGCAGCCTACGTAAGAAAGTGGCTTCATGGAACAAGAAAGACAAATACTACCAAAACCTCAATTGCTGTCCAATAACATAAATCAAAAACTTCTTCATCCATTTTTCAAACAAAAACAATAACAATAACAAAATATAAACAACAAAAAATATGGCAAAGTTGCCTAAAAACACAAAATTATAAACAAATTTAATTAACAAAAAGTTCAACAACAACAAATTAAGTTTAATATCTTTAATAACAACACAAACGCTATGTGCTGTGTGCACTGTGACTGTGGAGTGTTTGTGAGGAAAGACCGTGAGACTGGTTGTAGTGTAGGAACATCAACCCACTTCCGGTCTGAAGAGTCTGGTCTGGTCTGGTCGGGTTGGCTCATCAGAAAAAATTTAGGTCACACCTTATTCCCTATAGAAAAAATTTGCTAAAAGGGCGTTTTCTTGGTATCACAAAAAGGCAAACAGGTATATGAACAAATATGAACACAAAATATAAAAAAATTTGTCACAAAAAATGTTTATACCAATACTTTTGACTATGCCATGGACGCTTAGCCACAACTGATGTCCGATTTACGCGTCGGTGCCCTTTCCTTGATGGCGCCCCATGTAGCTGCATGTTTTGCATCGTACTTGCGCCAGACTTGAGCAAGCAGTCTAATAAAAAACCAAAAAATTTTTAATGGAAAATAAATTCTCTTTTGTGATTTTTGTTACAGGTTTAGGTTCATCCATAGCCATTAACTAATAAATTCACCCTAGAAGAATCAACAGTTTCAACCCGGAAAAAGTCAGTAAGAGATTTGGTTTTCAATAGGATCAATTTCTGTGACCTGAATTCCACTTTGAACTGAACTGTTGATTTTACCATGGAAAAATAATAAGATATTACGGTACTAATTTCATTAATTATATGATGGAGAACACAGCACCAGTTGGGAATACCAAACCAATTTACAAACCACATGACAATCAGAGTATTATAACTGAGCTACAACAACAACATGCCTCTGAAGCTTTGCCCATGATATCCAGTCTAGACGACGAAGAACCAAAAAAGACACAGAGTTCAGTAAGATATGAGGTTTCCAAGTGCCATCTTTCAACAAATAGTACCGATTTTGAATCAAGTACAAACCTAGATGAAACCCCTGCAATCATTGTTAGAAAAATTCTAGAAGAAACTCTTGATAGTGTTTTTGAAACAACATCAAAAGCTAGGTCAGTGATGACTAATTTGAGTGAAAAGAGAGGCCTCATTTCAAACAGCAGTATACAAAATCAAACCCCAGAATCAATAGAGTGTTTTGTAAGTTCAACATCAAATGCATATAAAAATCATATGCATATAAATGCTTTTTCCTCTTCCATTTTGAGGAATCTATTAACTGGTGGAGTCTATTACCCACCATACTTACCCAAGGGTAGATTGGCATTCAGCAATTTTTCAGGACCAGGCACTAATACACCTTATTTACCTGACCTTAATGAAAAGTCAACCCCACTATTGCAAATGAGGAGTGAACATTTAATTAATGACACCTTGTTGTACACTATCAAGGCAGAAATAAATAATGTTTGCAATACCCATCCTAATATGTGTTCATTAGCTGTGCCAAAAGGGTGTACACATGATCAACAACATGTTAAGAGCATAGCTGGTCTTTGTAGTACAAAAAATATAGCCGTTTTTATGGAAGAAAAACATCTATCCAATAATTACATGTTTTCTGCTGTAACTCAGAATGTATCATTTCCAACTTCAACTGAAAGTAACTTGATAGAACTCCTTCTAAATAAAACAGACAATCTGGCATGTTCAATTCCAAGTGAAACCCAAAGTGACCATTATAATAAAATATCTTCCCTGGAATCAGCCAGCTCAAGCACTCTTTCATTGTTTGATGAAAATACAGAAAATACTACTCAGTTAAACTTAAAAAGCGACCAAATTGTACCCAGTGATTTCATTGAAAACAATCAAATGGCATTAAATTTGCCTACACATGAAGTCATGCAGAGTAAGTTTGAAACAAGTAAGAACTATACAATACAAACAGCTTCCATGATAACAAATAGTGACAAAGATCTCAGTGGACAAAACAGTACACTAAAGCCATGTGGTTTGATTGAAATAACAACACAAAATAAAATTGTGTTATCATTGGTGAATAAAATTGCACTAAATGATTTTGACGGCATTCCTTCCAAAATTCTTAGTTTATTACAACCTTCCCCAAGTAATAGCAATACAACAGGAATTGAAAGCTACTCTGATGTTGGGAACAGGAATCAGTTCTCCTCACCTTTGGAGTCAAAATTTGTAGATAGCCCAAAAAACACAACACAAATAAATATTTCTCACAAAACTGTAGATTGTAAATTAGTATCCAAAGAATCAAATGCAGTTCTAAATATGCGTGACTCTGCTATAAGTAATATTTTAAATGTAACTCAGAGAAATTATGCTGGTAGTTGTGATAAAGATACTGTAAAGCCTAACAACTGTAATTACAATAGTTTGCTAAATATTTCAAAGTATGACTCAAGTAAGGAAAATTGTGATATTTCTGAAGAAACATTTACAGAATTACATGAAGATGAGGTTTTGTGTAATTCACCACTGCCTAGCAATGAAAGGACTGATGTTGTAGAAGCCAGAGATGTGGATGAACTTGATGAAGTAATTGATGATTCAATAAACAGGTTTGAGAATTTTACAGTGGATGTTGGTGTCTTAGCTACTCCATCCATTGCTGAAAAGTCCTGCCAGACAGAATTAATAGGAGATGACTATGTCAAATGTAAAAGGTGTCTAGAATTAGATAACTGCAGAAGTGAACCAGCAAAAAAACCAAGAATTGGTTTGAACGAAATGCTTGATTTACAATATGAAACTAGAAATACAAATTATAGTTATATTGATTCAAAAGAATCCCAAACCCAATTTATAACTAGAGACTTGCCCAATATTATAGAAAGGAAATGTTACTCAGACCACGATATCACTAGTAGGAGTAACATATTGATACCAAATCATTTGGAAGCAGTTCAGTTTACTAATGTCTATCCATCTGTAAATAATGACATACAATTGAGATTGATTGAGGATATTCAAGGATATCACAGGGAGGGAACAGATGAGATAGATGAAATGGAGGAAGACGAGAACTACTTATTTGAGGAAAAAAAGACAGATCGTTCAAATAAAGATGAATCAGAACAGGAAGTTCCTTCAAATGCAACATTCAACAAAGGTAATCTACATGTATATATATTTAGTAAACTTATAAAAAAAATTCAGTTCAAGACACACAGTAGTTATAATAATACTGCTGCATTTGTTTTAATCTATGCTGTCTTATGACACACTTTTACATTTCATGTGTTCACTGTAGTACAAAGTCATGTTCTAGGTCAAACTTAAATACATCCATTCTTAAAGTATAGAGAAAAGTTAGTATTCAAGCCAATCTTGTACTCAAAGTCCTCAACAACAATTTTGTCAGTCCAATTTTGTCATCAAACATGTTTGTCTTTACATGTTATTGTACCACTCAAACTTGTTATCCATAGCCCTTGTAGATTTATACCTTTGACTATTAATAAAACTAGACATCCCATCCCTGGGAAAAAAATCGTCGTTGTTGATGTGAGCCACCGACAGATTGTGCTGAAATTACTGATCTGTAGAATACACAAACATTTTTACCAAGTCAAACTGATGGAATAGCTCATTGTGAGCTATAGCAACTGTTATGACCCATCAACTATATCAGCATAAAAAATAAGGTAGGAAATATAATTTTATACACTAGCGCATTCTGTGACTGGGTCACATAACTATATTCTTTTTTGATTAAAAATTGCCGACATCTGGTTTATGTAGATGGGACGTCTACTTCAGTATTCAATAGTCAATGATCATACTCATGACTTTCAGAGTAATGTAATAAGGACACGATGATGTGTTACTATGTTCTTACATATTTTTGGTGCTCATATTAAGCAACAAATTTTTGATCAGGCAAAGAATTTCTCTGATAATGAAGTTTGTTATTACTTTATACTTTCCTGATTTTATTATTCCCTTCATTAGAGTAAAGCCTGAATCGCATAACTACAGGATGTCTGGGTTGGAGGTATCAAGAAACAACTACAAACATATTTTAATTTTAAAACTACTACGGTACCAAAACCCGACTTTGCCTATAAAAATATCAGGTTTTGTCTGTTTTCGTAGGTACCCATATCTTGGCACCTACCATTAAATCTACGAATATGTTAAATATTCTTCCTTTATGGTAGAACATTAGAACATAGACCAACTACTATGGCACATTTTGATAAAAAATTTACTATGCAGGTCATAAAACACCCTAAAATGAAATGATATCCTTTTATTTTCAGGTTCAATTTCCTTACCTTGGAAAACTCTGAAATAGTGTACAAAATAATTGAATATTTTCATGCACACTCGTTTTTTACACCATATTCAGCGGACATTCACTAACTTTTGTCAAATATAACACCCTTTTGTTAATTAAGACAAAGGAAAATTCTATTAGTTTAAATATGAAAAATCACCTTTTAAACAAATGTTGTGTGGCCACCTACCTCTTTATCCAATTATATACAATATGCAATTTTAAATCCAATAATTTTACAGTAAAACAGCAACTTTGTCGATGTGAAGACCACTGAAGTGAAACTCTTGGGCTAATTTCCACACTGGTTAAGTAGCTACATACCACCTCTCATTGAGTACCGTAGCCTACTATTACCAAACACGTTTGTTTACCTCTGGGCCATTGAAACCTTAAGAGGGGTTTGGTCTCGCCAAGCCTCTTCTAATGTAGACCCCAGTTTGGTGACGTCTTTCATTACTTGGTCTTTCCACTTCATTCTTGCTTGGTCCTCCAAATAGTCATACAGTATATACCTTGTTGTACTTTTTAGATGATTTTATTCTTCAATAAAATAAGGCAGCACGTGGAGGAACAATTATTTTATTAACAGGACATAACTTTTAAGTGTTAGAGAACATTAAACCAACAAAACTCACTTGTGAATATAAACATAAATTTGACAACAAAGGAAATCATATACAATACAGACAAGGGGTAAAATTGAAATAATCATACGTTAACATATCTAATATATATAATCTTAACAGTAATCAGTAGTCTTTGGAATACACTTTTTACTTTAAAAAGTTTATGTATCTTCTCTCCACCTCGCAGAGCTATCAGAACACCCCATCCAAGCCTTTTACTTTTGGAAAGCACCCCAATATCTGGGTGTTTATACATTTATCTCAGCTCTCTGTTCTTTAGTATAGTATCTCAACCTCTGTTTTCTTGAACTGATCCATATATTTTTCTCTGCACTCTATTCTCTTTTTCAAACACAATTAAAAGTTTTTTGGATTCCTTGGTCAAATCAAATCAAATATGTCTTTATTCATAATAGTACAATTTATGTACAATGAATGGTGTCAGATCTTATTTCTAAGAAATAAAAATAAGTACATTAAAATTATCCTATTTACAAGTATAATACAGTCAGTGCCCAAGCCAGGATTTCAATTTCGGGGGGGTGAGGGTCTTCCGGGGGGGTTCAGGGAAGCTTACGGGGTTCGGGGGACCTCTCTAAATATTTTTTTAAATTTGGCTTAAAATCGACTAGTTTAATTCTGATATTAATTCTAACTTGCAAATCTTTCTTGAAACATTACAAATTTAACATCACATATTTTTATACATATATTGTATCTTGTTATTTTATACCCCATAAAATTATAATAAATCAAACCTTACTTTTTGAATTATGCTATTTAAATTCTGACCAAATGTTTGAATTGCATGAATTGAAACATTAGACGATATTATGGGTACCGAGACTACAAGACCCAAGGTCAGAGGGGAGAGGGGGGAGATGATTGCTGGAGTCAGAGTAGCAGAGACTGCAAGACATGCTCACGGATGTTGCAGTGGTCCAGGTGGACGATTACGGGTATTGCTACACCCCCCCCCCCCCTAGCACTGATGTGCTAACATGTTTTAAAACAACCAAGATCACTCTTATACTTCAATCTTATGACCATAAGTTCAAGTTCCTCTCAAGAGTCAATTTTAAAAATTCACATTTTTCTGAATAATAAAATAACAGCAAAATGACAATATTTACTGTTGTGGATTTAAAGCCAATAGTTGTGCATTACATCTTCTCAGTAAATATAATCACTTGGCTTACATTCACGTTGATTTTATTGGCCAAGTCATTATGGCCAGAGATTAAGTTTGGGCAAATGGAAGTTACTAAATACACTTAACCTGCAGTTTTTCTTAGGAATGTGTGTGATGACCTTTACCAAACCTTTATAACACAACTAAGATTGGGTTTCTTTTTGTTTGTATTTTAGGTTTACTTTGCTAACAAAATCATCCCTTAGATAGTTTATTTCTTGATATCTCTAACCCAGACATTGTATGTTAGTAGATAGGGAATATTGTATGGGTAGACTGAATGTTGATTTGTATTAAAAATAAATTATCTATGTTTTTACAGAATATCCTCCTCCACCTCCTCATCCCTTTGTTACTCCTAAGAAACCAGTCCTTAGAGTTGGTCTTCCAAGATCTGCTCGATTCAAACCATTACATCCCAGAGTTTAATGGCCTTTATCCCATGTTGTAGTAACTTAGTAAGTTAATTTGAAGTTTTAAGATATATCATCAGAGTCAAACTTAACCAGTGGCGTAGTCATACATAAAATTTATGTTGTGGGAACACTTTTGGTAGTATATTTTTTAGCGTTACCTGTAAAATTTAAACTTTTTAATTTAATTCAAGCTCTCATAATTTTACATAAATGAACCCTTGCCTGCAATTTAGATCCTTTTCTTAACGAATTATGAAATAGTGAAATTAGCATAAAAGAAAAATAGTTTTTATACTATGGTTGTATGTAAATTAAGAAACCCAACAAGCTCCAGTTGTAGCTAAGCTCAAATATGACACCAGACACCAGCATTGTGATCTTTTCATTCCTGATTACTATTACCTGATTACTGGGAAGCTAGTTCCCACCCCAATGCAAGGATTAGTATCATCATGATAGCCGATAGCAATGTGGGAAATATTGAATATTGATGCACCCATCAACTATGAATTGTTTTCTGTGATTACATATCTAAAGTCTAAAGGGCCAAACCCTATAAAAGCCCATTTCCAGTAGAAAAATACTTAAAATACTTTTATCTGAAATGGCGACCATACTAATGTAGGTATTTTAAGCCAAGTAGAATGAGATGAGTGTAGGATAAGTGGCGCGATCTTTTAGTCTTATTAGTGACTAAGGCCGACATTTCTCCTTAGACACAGCTGTTAATTAATAGCCCATACAACACAGCTAATGGCAACTAAGAGACCTACAGTTTATTGTGGAATCCAAACCACCTGTATAAATGTGAATTGGGAAACGTTTTTGAACATAGAAAGCGTGCATAGGGATGAGGAATGAAATAGAAGAATTTGAACCAACTGAAATGGTGTTGATCAATTTAAAACAGAACTAAAATTCGGAAAATTGATTTACAGAACAATAAAAACTAAACATAACAATAAATACTGAGAATGAATTACGGGTATTTGAAAAACAGCAAAAGGATATTATAAAGCTTTATACTACTACATTCACCCTCTATTTAATGTACGTATTCGTTGCATTATGCAGGGGTCCTTCTTACTATAGAAAAGGGGGAAAAATGTTTGATCTTAATTTTTAACAGAGGGATAACTGTAATTTGATTTGATTTCAGACCTTTTGGTCCAATTTCAGTCTTTTGCAGATGAGTATTATATTCTAGACTGTTTCTCTTATTTTGCGCCGTTATAAAATCTGCATTTGAAGGTACAGTATCCAAGTCTGAGAATGTTTTCACTACAGGTAGCTCAATTTCAGAAACTGCTTCGGGGGGAACTGCAAAAGGTGGCGAGTTGAAAAAACAGTCTCCTTCCCATCATTGTACTTGATGTGAGCATAGTCCGAATTCGTGAATTAGCTTCCACAAGTTGAGTCTGTTCAACAAGGGGTTCGCACTTGCTTTTACACACATGCGTCCTAACTAATCCGGTCCCAGGTTCATCAGCCACAGTGGCCCTCAAGCACAGTGCTTGAGGGGTTCTATAAAACAAATGTCTCGGATATTTAAATAAGTGTTTGTGATGTGTTAAATTTGTAGTGGTGCACAACAGGGATTGTATACAGTGTGAAGCTTCCAGAATAACATAATCACACTGTTCTTTCACTTCAGCCGTTAACTCTTGATAATCACTCAGTGACACTGATTTCCAAATTATTTTATTGAAAGTGTTTTACTTGAGAATACTATATAGATAGGGTTTGTAGGGTGATGAACGACTTGCGGCAATTCCTTTTGAATGTAAGAAATCCTTCAGTTCTCTTGATAAAATCAGATCCTTGGACTAAATGAATTAATGCAGGCATGCCAAACATGGTGATGATTAATGTCTCAGGCACTGATTACAGAAGATGCTGATGTATCAACACATGGTATAGCAAATGGATATCTTGAAAACTCATCGATGATAGTTTCATGTAACTAAGAGAATCAGACCCTTAAAGTCAACAACACGTCTCTCAAAAGGTGCCAAGGCATTGATTAAGGTTATAATTAGGCTTGTGAATTTGCGATAGAATCTTGATTTAATTTCTGCACTAACAGAACATGTAGCAGTCATTCTATGAACATATTCTATAGAGTAAGGAATATTTAAGTAGAGTAAGTAATGCTGTCTTTTCAAGAAATGAAACAACCACACAATACTCCTTGGATAGCCAGTGTTTTTCAGAGTCTCGAGTTAAAAGTGAAGAACAAAATAACACGTAAAAGAGCATCTACTACCACATTTTCTCTGTCATATCAGTTAACTACAGGGTGGGGCAATGAGAACGCCACAATTTGTTTTGGCTGTCACATGTTAATTGTTGCAACAACGAATGATCAGCTGTGCTTAAAACATCAATTAAAATATGCCATTTTAGTAAATATTATGCCCGAGGCTATTAACACTGAGATTTTGATGTGCAAACCTATTTTTTAAATAGTGGTTCTTGTGCAAACACCCAGAGATTGTTTGGACCACATTCCATCCTTGGTCAACATGGTACTGTTCAGGATTGGAAAACAACGGTGAACTGGGTAAAATTATTTAGGATAAACGCTTAAACCTTAAAAATAATTGGTGGGTGCCGGAAAAACTCCTTGTACACCAGCAAATTTTCAAAGAGTGCGAGTCGCAGTAACTCAAAGTCCTAAGAGATTTGCCAGGAAACTGTTGTTGTTGAAAGCTTTACGTTGGCTCCTTTTTTTGGAAGGGGGGGGGTTTCTAATAAGCTACTTGAAGTTCTAGGTTTTTCGAAGTCACCCTCACAGATTTGCTTGAACCGAAGCTAAGAATTGTCCAAAAACTAAAGTGATTGCTGAAGAAATGCTGGAGGAGTACCGGTATTTGTTGGAGTTTTCAAGTGCCTAATGTCAAGTACGACAAGGACGTCACTTGGAGGATTTCGTTCTCAAGAAATGGAAAAATGACTTTGTTAAGTTAAAATGGGAAAATATAAGCTGTGTTTTGATGTGCTATTTATATCCATAGGGTGAATATTGTTGAGTTTGTACTGCTTATAAATTGGGGCGCTTTCATTGCCCCACACCCTGTATTATAGAGGAGTATGATCCTAACTGAAGTCGCCTCTTTAGAATCTTGTTACTCTCTATCTTGTTACTTTACCATTAAGCATTTGGTTGAACAAGGAAGAGACCAAATAAGAGTTCTCTGCAAAAACGCTTCACTATTTGTCACACCAAAAGGAATATGGATGTATGTAATGGTAATGCTTTTACCATTATAGATTTAAATTGTTTTTTTTTTTTTTTGAAAGATTGGGACTTAATGATATCCTTCCTAGATCAATTGTACTAAATCTACATACTTTGCACTGATCAATTTCAATACAAGCTGAGTGAATTTGTTAATAGTTTGAGTGTAATCAACACATAAAGGGTTTTTGTGTTTGTTATTGACAACCATTACCAGGGCTCCCAAGGGAAATCTACTGGATTCAATAACTCCTACCAAGAGCAGTCTGAGTTTAAATTTTTATCTTAAACTTGCTGTCTTCTTGGGACTTACTTTCAATGAGGCCCCACCATTTAGTTATATTACTGAAAATCTGAGCAGGCGGAACTTTGACACTAAGTTGGTTACACACATTTAAATGTGGGCATTCTCTACCAATCTTTAACCCTACGGGCTACGGCAGAGTGTTGACGAAGAATATCATCATGCCCTATCACAACATCAACCCACAAGTTGAGTTTTGCTTGTGGATATTTGTTTCTCCTATGTCAATTGTACAATGGCCATGTACACGAAACATGCAGTTTTTTACAAATGGTGCAGAGACACTTATTTCGAGGATGTCCAGGTTGCACACTGAAGTAACAATTACTCTTCTTAAGTGATGAGACTTGATGGATACAGATTCGGATACAATTTTGGAGTCATTATCGGCAATATAAACTTTGGATCTTCCGATCCGGTAAATAACTATTGGATCTTCCGATTGGCAATATAAACTTGGAGTCTTGTGAAATGCTAAATGCTCCCGATAAATATAGCGTCAGCATAAGAGTCAGCTCCTTAAATTACTTCATGTACTAGTACAGTATACTGTAATTCATAAAGTGTATTAGAAGCTTTAACTTATTATATATTATATTGTTATTATATTAGTATATTCCTTAGCAGCACATATTTCTTAGATGGAAATTTCAATGCTTTCCAATGATTCCTTAGCTAAATCAGCATGATGATCATTAGGGTCTAAGCACAATTGTACTTGTGGGAAAAGCGTTTCCATTGATTTGAGGTATGTTATGAAAATAAAGATGATTATTGTTAGGTTGAATGAATTGTTATGAAAAAGACAAGTTGAACCAACTGAAACGGTATTATTCAATTTAAAACTGAACAAAATTTTAAAGAATAGAATAACAGGACAATAAAAACTTAACATAAAATTTACTGGAACAAATTTAACAGAGCTGTTTTAAATACAGTGAAAGGAAATTGTGAAATTTATACTACTACAGGGGTTCGGAGATGTTTACGAGATTTTAATTAGTGTAGGCCAGCTATGAAAGCTTATCATCAGTTTCATGAGAGTCAGTGGCCAAAATTAGAGAAATTCAGTCGATGGTTCAAGAGTGACTGAATGAGATATTATCAAACTGAACTGACTGGGGACTAGGGACGTCTCTAAAACTACCAAGTACAACGGTAAACGCTGGTAGTCCTAAACAGGCTGCTCCTTATAGTAAACATTTTCAACTTTAATCCCTGTCTCGTCTCGAGTCTCCATGGGAACTTAGTTTGAACAATAGTTGCAAACTTCTTGATGGGAACTTAGTAAAAGTAAGCCTGCACAGAACAAATGTGAGCAGGGCTTGTGACTCCCTTCCTAGGCCATATTTTTGCAAAATTGTAAATTTTTATTTTTATAAACTTTTTTATAATTGTCTATCAACTGGCAATGGATTTAAATAGGGTATGTCCGGATGATGACCCTCTCACAGAAAACGATTCACATAACAGTATTCATTATTATTAGTGGGGGCGTTGATTTTCTTTAGGCTACTTGAGCAAGTGAAGAGATTAATCCTTGCATAGGGGTTGAAAGTGGCTAAAATAGTAGTAAATAAACACGGTTTCAGATGTCAACTGTCAACTATAGTTGTTTGGCTTGAAGGTTGTAGCTTGTTTGGCTGCGCTGCAACTGGAACTTGTTGGAGACCTTAACTTACAGACCATTCTCAAACTTCATTGTAAAATGAAAATAGATTTATTTGAAAATTTCTTCCTGATCTGTCATAATCTCACTTACAAATTTCTTACTTACCAAAAAGTGCACAGAATGCACAAAAAAAGTTTCAAAGTTTTGTGGTAAAACTTAACAAAACCTGAGAGTAAACAGTATTGTAAAAAATAACCAACGATATAGTTGGTTAGTAGTACATCGTTGAAAATAACTTGCTCATAGGGAGTCCAAACCTTTAGTTTTATGAACAAATCAAAAAGCCAATTTCTTAGCTACTGTTTTTAGCTTAAACAATTTTTATAGTATGGATTTTAAATTTGAGCTAATTATTTGAATGTCTAGGCTATATGTATCAAACAACAGCGGCATTACAGTATTTACTGATATATATTGTCCCAACCAAATTCAATTCAATACCAGCATCATCTAAATTTGTAAAAATACAAAAACATTCACATGGAATCAACAGTGACTGTTGCAAGATAGACTCTCCCAGTGCCTGTGGTAAGTGAAGTGCAAGGCCACTCTAGTGAGTCAAGAAAGTCAGGAAGCCCCTGTGTGTGAGGAAATGAAGGAAGGATGTCAGATAAAAATCAGATGTTTTTTAATTAAAGTTACTTTCCGTAATTTCTGATGGAGAGTATACAGAAGTATTAAGTAGTATTAAGATTAAAAAATAAATTAGTAAACTTTATAAACTGCTATATCTGACATTAATTATTTATTTTCTTTAAGCTGCAGATCCAGATGCCATCAAGTGGATTTCATCTTGGAAACATTTCGAGAAGCTGGCAGTAAACAAATTTTTTATATTTCAGTTTTTATAATTTTTGTTTAGGTTAGCGTCTAAGTAAATAGGTTTGTGTTCATAATTTGAATAGGAGGAACAGATTGAGGAATTGAGGAGTAATATTTGTAGTATTGTTATTAGCCTACTTTGTATGTTGTTAGTAGGATGGTAGAAACAATATTTTGTAATTTTTAAGGGATATTTTCTGTACATCTTGCTCTGAGTTAGGGATCCAAGCTGAATCTTTGGCTACTTATAGAATTGCTGTAGTGTAGTTGTTAAGTACCGGTATAGTAGAGGTTTAGAAATACATATTTTGTTTGGTTTTGTTCAAAAAAACATTAAACATATACATTATAATAGGAACATTTTCTAACTTATATGCTTAAACTGAAAAAAAAAAAAAATGCATTCATGTGAGTTTTAGCTGTTATGTTTTTACTAATGTAAGGAAGAAAAAGAATAATGGTGGGCTCACTATAGGATTGAATCGTTATAAGAAATATGTATGGATAAAATATGTTGTTTAAACTTGATCCCTATTTCTAATGTTTTTTTATTGTGGAATTTTAGCTGTTTCCGTGACTGCAAAAACATTATTATAAATAATGCTAATTACATACCAAAGAGGTGACAGTCCCGTTAAAATAGTATTGTAGTTATAATATCCTAAACTGATGGATAATTAGTTGGTTAATTAGTTGCTTGTGCAAATAATAGTCAGTTGCCATAAGCTCTTTGTACCAAAGGTTTCAGTCTCAAATTGTATTTTTAAAATAATTGATTTTTTATCAATATCAACAGTATAATAATATCAATGCAAAAAATAATGGAGCAAATTTTATTTAAATACTTTGCATTGTCTTATGGCTTAGATTTAACATTTTACTTGCTTTCTAAACCAATCCAATACTCAAAATGTAAATAAGCAAAATAAAGATGTATTTTTAAAGTTAAGTACTGTAATGTCAAAAACTATTGTCTAAGAAATGATGATTAGCATTATTTAAAACATAAGTAAATGTATGATTTTCTTTCAATAGAAATACTTTTGTTATTGTTATTTTGGGTAGCCTAGTTATCATGTCTTTATTCTTGATAATAAAATAAACTAATGTTTTGATTGAACAGCATCTCTAATTTATAGTGTCTTAGATTGTGTAATATACAGATGACTTTACCAAGCAAGTAAAGCCTGTATAGATAAGTTTATTGGCAAATTGAATTTTGTTATTAAGGTACGATTCCCAAGCCTGGCTTACTGAGACTCAAAGTCAAATACCTCTATATGTTGATTTAAAGCCCTGATTATATTTTCGTTTTCATTTGTGTCATTCAATACCATTTTCAATACAATTTTATTTTGTATGTATATATCATATAAATATTCCAATGGTATTCGTAGCAGTTTTGTAAGGATAAGTTTTACTGCAAACTTTAGTAAAACAAACTTGAGGTAAAACTATATTCTTCATCTTTCTTAATATTTAAGTACCTACATATTTTATTCACTGTTTTGTTTTTGCAAAATATCCAATATATAGGAAATAAGGTATTTTTTATTTTGTTGAGACATAATTAATTATTTTTTCTACAGTTACCTAACAATGTACATGTTCTCTCACTGATTTGAGAAAGCAAAGTGGCCAATTCGCTCATCAGTGAGACAATGTTAACATTGTCTCACTCTAATTACTTTGTCTCACTCCAGATTTGCAACGTGAATGCACGAAAAATAGTGAGCGCGTAACATGCAGACAAGGTCGTATGCGCGCGAAATACGTTGGCAGCACTGGCTGTAAATCAGCTGGTCAGCTGTTTTACTGTTGTATCATTAAATGTAATATTAAAAGTTCACTTCTGTGTAAAAATATTTTACGTTTCTTTACCAATTTATTTGTTTCATAGTAACTGTAGGAAAAATATAATGTGCAACTCGAGTGCAAAGTGCAAATCACTTTGCTCACTAGTTGCACAAATAACTATTAGATTCCATAATTGTGTTTTAAGTGAACTATAGCATTTTTGTTTAAGATTTTTGGAGATAGGAGAAAAAACAATATGTTGAGAACAAAGTACCTCAACAGATTAATTAGGTAGTAAACACAATGGGTAGTAAACAATATTTTTGTGTTCCTAATGGCAGCAACCCTAATTAAATAGGTATTTAATCTCAAAGTACCCATGAACTTTTGAGAAAACTACAAGTCACACCCCCATAAACCATATACTTAAAATGTTCCTCATGACGAGAAAACTTTAGCAAAACTATCCATTATTTCATAAATTACCCTTAAGGTCGTATTTACTTTCAAAGGGAACTTTTTATATATATACCTAATGTTAAAAATACCTCAGCTGTACTTATTTGTTTGTTATTATTTCAATTTATTACCTTATTGAAATCAGGTGTGATTATTTATTTGTATTACTATAATCTGTTTTGTTTATTTCAGATTAACCAATCAATAGTTTTATTACTTATGAAATCTAACGGGGTGAAGCCCGTAGGTAATTTTTAATAACCTTGGGTAACATAACAGCTATATAGTAGAGTTTACTTTTTAAACTGTAAATTTCCATACCCTACTAATAAGAAACCAGCTGAGAGTGCGAGAGAGAGAAAGACAGATGAAACGAAGCTGCTGCGATCTCTTGGGTAAGGAAGGAGTGAATTAGTGCTGCGACTGCCCTGCTGTCTGGTAGTGTTCGCCGTAAGTACAATGGTACACAGTTATAACAGAACAATGAACTTAGAGCCCCCAGCCACGTGCCCCAGTATCACATAACAGTGAGATTGCAAATACTGTACATTCACATTGAGAGTATACCACGCATTCCATTAGTATTAGTATTTGATATAAAATATGTGATCGCAGGATGACGATTAAGAAATTGTTTGCTACCTTTTCTACTTTACCTTTTAAGATTAAACCAAATCTACAAACCAGCAAATTGTACGATATTTAACTGAAGTTAGATGTTCTCGTTTTTATAATTTGACATTAAACCTAAATTATTATTTATTACACTCTCAACTAACTATGATTATAAAAATGTAACCTTTCAATATATTTTGTTTCAATTCAAGACGAATATGACTGAAGTCAGTAAAATATTAAAATAACAATGTTACTTCTACAGTAGCTGGTTTCACATTGTGTATCATAAATTTCGCGAAGAAATAATTTCATGAACAACCATGTTGAAGCGCATGGCTGAGGTGTCCGAGTGGTTAAGGAGTTGGACTTGAAATCCAATGGGTTCTACCCGCGCAGGTTCGAATCCTGTCCTCAGCGGCGTATTCTTTTTATGCGAGTAAGTACTAGCACACTTCACAACTCTTGATGTGTAATAAGTTGTTACTTGTTCTGGGGTAAATATTCGGTAACTTTGGTTAAATTTATAAATTTTACATTGTATTCGAAACTATTTAACAATATATTTTGTCCAGCAATATTTTTGAATGGCCAAATATACAACATTAATAAATTATATATGATGCAACCATCGATTATAGTGAACCATAGCCAAAGTCCGTGAACTTCAATGTAAATTAGTTTAGAAACCTTTGTGTAAATATCTATCTAAATTATAATAGTAGCACTATTTGACAAAATACAGTGTGTTATATTTACGTAATGAAACACTTGAAAACAGCAATGTTGTGAAGTATACACGATACAGTATCTATTACAAACCAAATTGACCGATGCATTTTTCATTTTTGACGAACTTTATAAACATACACATACCTAAATTTTTTTGTGGGTTGGGTTGCGCAGTACTGTACTCGCGCTTTGCAGTAAGAACCTAGAAATACAGTAAGTAATGCGATTCAGGGATACGATGGTTTACAGAACTAAACGGCTTTTAGATATACAAATACTGTAAGTTATTAACTCGCAAAACCAATCAGTAATAATTAATTTGAAAAATTTCGAAATTTCTGACCTTATTTGGACGTTTGTTTGATAAAGACCTGCCGCACCTTATATCTTTGTTCAAGCTATTGAAACCTTTTGCAATTTAAAATATGAACAATGCTTACAACAAACTATAACAAATTGACTAATAATGTTCAAATAAATCTTGGTTAAAAAGGTGTTCAAAACACTGACTCATTATCTGTTCGGATTATCTCTGAGTGAGTAAAGTAGAGTGAAATTTGGAACGCACATGACATTTATACATGTATCCCTTTTTTAAACCATCGATAGTTTGAAGAACTGTTAACTGTTATGTGAATCATTTACTTGTAATGAACTGGCAACTTCGATCTCGGCTAATACCTAAAAATAAAATTCAAGTACGACATTTAGGCTCGTCTGATATAACGGCGGCCGCTTGGTCTAGGGGTATGATTCCTGCTTTGGGTGCAGGAGGTCCCGGGTTCAAATCCCGGAGCGGCCCTTAACTTTTGTATCTTATTATTTTTCCTCCTTAACTTTTACTACAGTTAGTTATGGAAATGTCATGAAAACGTGTATCATGGGGTTTAATACCCCCGCCGTAGCAAACCTACCATCTAAGCGAATTTCCATTTGCCTGAGGTGTAACAAGTAGGCGACATAGGTTTGCTGATACGGGAAAACTAATAAAGTGTGTTTTTAGTAAAATATTAATAGCTTAGTATAAAATAAATAAATTTGTAAAGTTTGATCAAAATATATCCATAAACAAAGCCAATTACAACTACAATACATTCTCCATAAGAATAACATGGGAATTTTAAAATTATTTTCTCCGTAAATAATAACCGTACAAAAAAACTTAGATAAACTGAATTATTTGCTTTTTACGCTCTTTAAAAAGGTCTAGAGAGGAATTATTGGGGAATTTTGTGTTTTGAGGATCAAAAATGAGAAAAAACAATTTTAACCCCATAAAACCCCCGTAAAACCCTGGTCCCATGGTCCGATCATGCTAGTTCGCATGATAAAAGATTAAGATAGAAACAATATGACTATGACATTACTGTTGAAACTAGACGTTGTTCAATAAAATGAGTTTTAAAAAGGGTACTTTAGTTTTTAGTAATGTATTTATATATATATATATATATACATACATACAGTATGTAAAAATTTGAACGAATGGTTTTTTTAGCCTCTGGGGACATCAAAATAAAAAAGTAAATCGGTCCGGACCTAGGTCTTACCACACCACCTACGGTAATAAAGTCAATGGCATTAGCTTTTTCCCTATATGAAATTCTAAAAAGGGATAAAATACTTGTTGTAAAATTTTACCTGTAAAATATATTATTTAAGTTTTGTTCGGTCATTTTAGCGAATCGTCCATATTGTATAGGGAAGTATCTATTACCGTAGGTCTCGTGTTAAGACCTAGACCCG